AAAGAAGGTAATCTACTACCCCTGGATCTCATCTCTACTAAGCGGCACAAACGGGATGCGGTCTTTGACTAACTCACTCCAGAAGTGAGCTCTTCACTCTTGCTAGCCATTCATTACTGTCCTCTGCCCTCTGCAAGTGGATGGCAGTAGCTACTAACTTAAAGATGGATAGTGTGAACAACGACTTCAGCCCAGAAACCCCTATTTAGCACAGGGGTGCTCTGTGACCCATTAGTCACCATGAGTTGGAATCTTCTCAGCAGCAATGGGTTTTGGTTTCAGTTGCGATCAAACTTGCCTTTTATTTATAACCTATATTTGGTTCCCATAGGTCCTTGGTCTATCGCAGAATGCTTTCCTTATCGATATATTTAGTCCATTTAGGCATGCAACTTGAAAACATACATTCATCTTACTTTTACATAAGCCCTAAGATGACAGACATATTCATGTATCGTCTTTTGAATAGTGGACTTTGGAGTCAGTGCCCAGCTCGATCGGACAGTGGGCAGAAGGAACACCTTCATCGGGACCCCCTACTGGATGGCCCCAGAAGTCATTGCTTGTGATGAAAATCCAGATGCCACCTACGACTTCAAGGTACGACTTCCTCATTGGTTTTCAAAGCCATAGCTAACATTGCACTCTGAAGTTTGAAGTAAAAGAATTCTCGTGTGCTTTGGGGTTTATGGTTTGTGTATCCCAGAGAAGAGGGGCAAAAAAACCCACTTGAATTTAAAATTGAAGGCATTCAAGTAACAATCTTTTAAACAAATCCATCCATCACATCAGATTGCTTATTTTTTTAAAATCTTTAAGCCATTGCATGCTTTTTATTGTTGGAAAATGCATTTCCATGTTGGCTTTAGTTTAGGTTTGGGGAAAATCTGTGCTTGCTGGAGATTGACGTTAAATCAGATTTATGGCAAATCTCCATCAAGCACAGATTTCGTGTTAACAGGAGCCCAGGTATAAGCTTGTGGCCTTGGGTCATCTTCTGATACTGATTTTTATATGATTCCAAGTAATTCCTTGAGTTTCTCATCCTTGAGCGAGAACCAAGTGGAATGTTGTTAACTACTCTGCAGTATTTCGATGCCATGTGACATTGTTAAAAATTTTATTTGTGGCTTATTTTATATTAGCTATTTTGACAGTACATTCATAGCCATGTTCAAGTAGAGAGGTGAGAGTTGCTCCCTTCTCATAGAAGCTCTCTCCTTTTCTGTTCTGGTAGCCAGTAAGACAGAGCATAGGTGATACGGTCTTTATTCGTATGGCTGGAAGTCAAGACATTAAAATGAAAGGCAAATAGCATCTAGGATCTGGGTAGTTGAGACACCCTTCTGTGGTGGTTGTACAGAGCACAGGGAAACCTAGAACAAGGTACTGAAGCTACTTGATTGGCCTACTAGATGCATGGCCTTCTCATTGAAGGATTGTAGGGATCATCTCTAAATACCCTCATCTTATAAATCAGGACACTGAGGCCTTCAGAAGATCACACGCAGCTAATCATCTTGTCAGAGTTGGGATTTGAACTCAGGTCTCCCACCTGTTTCATCAGAGCTCTTTTTAACATTATACCTGCTCTTCTGCTGCTTCTATATAAGCCTCCAACCCAATGGGGGTGTGGAGGGAAGCCTCTGGAACGTGTTTTTGAAGATGCCCTCATTTTGAAAAGCATTGTCATTTTCTACATGAAAAGCCAACATTAGAATAATGTGGGGTGATTATTGAAATCCGGCCACAAAGATGCAAACACTGCTCTGAGATCCAGTGTCTCCGGGCACTGAAAGAATGATTTGCAAACTTGTATGTCTGAAAACAAAAGAATCTTCTATAAATGTCCCCCTTCCTTCAAAGTTAGTCACTCTAATAACCTGACAACAATCTGTCTGAAAACTGCTGCCAAGTTAAAAATTAATCTCCTGCCAAAATAAATGTCATTTATTTAAACTGCTAATGATAAGCACATTCAAATACTTCAATTTGCAAATCCCTCCAGAGGAACTGCTGCGAAATATGGGTCCAGAGATGTGTATCTTAATTGGCTAGGGGAAATTCTTCAACCTGTAGTTAGACTTACCCAATGCTAACTAGTCTCCATAGGGGCCACAGATATGCTCAAATACTTTCTATCAGAGCAGGAGGAAGTCAGAGTACGTCAGGCATTGACATGAACTTAACCTGTTAAGTAGTGAGACCTTTTGATGGTATAGCAGTTTTGTTTTGCAGCATGACGGAACTCACTACCTTGACTGGTTTCTAGCCGAGTAACTAGAAGAGCCTTCTATCTAAGCCCAAGCTCTGAAATCACCTAATATCTTGGCCTCGGTTTCCTCGGTTGATTGGCTAAGTCATATAGCTCAGGATCATGGAAAAGATGCAGAGACTAATTAGGAAGCAGGTACCGCTGCTGCGTGCCGTTTGAGTAGCCCCAGGGGCCTCAGGCTGGACAGCAAGATCTCAGAAGGATCAGAAGGTCCATTTGACGCTCACATTTTCCTCTGGAGACATTAAAAATCGTATTAGTTCTGGAATCTTTTATGACAAATAGGACCCCTGGAGTGGGGAGGAGCCACTGATCAGGTCTGAGCATGAATGTAGTTTGCTAAGAGGGAGGAAGGAAGCTGGAGGCAGAGTGTGAGCCTCACTGCCTGTCTTTAGAGGCAAAAAGCACAATCACAAACGAGGCCCTACAGAAGGCAGGGCACAATGGAAGCTCCAGGGGTTATTTGGAGATGCATTTTACACACTTCCTAATGTGTGGACCAGATAAGACACTATTCATTAAATTACACCACCCACCCACCCATGACCTACGATATTGTATTCCTTCGGGGAGGTGGTCTGACATCAGAGGACACCTGGACAAAACCCTAACTCTGAAACGAGTTCACTCAGCCTCTTAGGGTGCATTTATTGATGAGGCCCTGGATGTGAGGAACCAGCGGCACTGCAGTTCAGGACTAGGGAGCTCGTTTGCCACCGCACACCAACAAGCACAGGGGCCTCGCTTTGCCGCCTCTGCGAGAGGCAGCCATTTGACCTGGGCCTGCCTTCAAAGTCCCCTCGTACACTGTCCCTCTTAGAGATGCTTTCAAAGAGGGCACGGTGAACATAAACGAGGGCGGGCAGGCGGGCACTGGACGATGCTGGGTTCCCTCGCACAAAAGGCCTGGCTTTAAAATGCAGAAAACTGCACAAGAAACGAGTGGAGCCTGGGTTTTATTATTTGGTTTATTATTTATTGACTGTTGCCGATTTGTTATGATTTGGTGTGCCGGAGTGTCTTTAAGAACTGCAAGCAATGATTGAAGGCTTTAAAAACTGCCACCAATTAATTAAAAAATAATGACACTACGGTAATCCAATAAAGCCAGGCCTTTGTAGAAGAACGGGCTGAGAGCCCCTGGTTTGCTGTAGTCTGGTTCTGCTGCTGGCGCCTGGGTGTGGGAAGAAGCCCAGGCAGGGGGCGGAGCTCCGCGTCACATTCCCCTGTGGCTTGTTCACTTCCCCCCCTCCACCAGGCCCTTCCTTTCTTGTTTTCAGAAATTCTGTCAAAACACTTCAACCGAAAGGAAAGGTTTCATTTCCCTGATAAGTATGTGGGGCAATCACGAACGCTTTCCCATTTAATAATATGCATTTGAAAGATGTGAAATTAATAAAACAGTTAAAAATTCCGGGGCTGTTTAAATTGTTTTTTGTTTTTTTTAAACTTACTTTGAATCTCACCTCAGTTGGGTAGGATGTGTCGACTCTTTCTTTTTATTGAGGTATAATTTGAATGGAGTAAGGTTATTTTTTGTTGTTATTTTTTATTAATAAATCATTTTCTTGGAGGTTTTTACAGCTCTTATAACAATCCATACATCAATTGTATCAAACTCATTTGTACTCATGATTTTCAAAACATATTCTTTCTGCTTGAGCCCTTAGTATCAGCACCTCTTTTTTCTCCCTCCCGCACCCTCCCGTTCTAATGGAAGTCCTGATAAATTATTAATATTTTCATATCTTACACCATCCACTGTCTCCCTTCGCCCACATTTCTGTTGTTCATCCCCCTGGGGGTGGGTTATATGTTGATCATTGTAGACAGTTCCCCATTTCTCCCTTTTGTCCGCTCCCTTCCCCTCTACCCTCCTGGTATCGCTACTCCCATTACTGTTCCTGAGGGCTTTATCTGCCCTGGATTCCATGTGTCGAGAGCTCTTCCCTGTCCCAGTGTACATGCTCCGGTCTACCCAAATTTGTAAGGTAGAACTGGGGTCATGATGCTGGGGGAGAGGAAGCATTAAAGAACTAGAGGAATGTTGTGTGTTCTGTGAGTGCTGTGCTGCACCCTGGCTGACTCATCCCTTCCTTGTGACCCTTCTGTGAGGGGCTGTCCAACTGTCCAGAGATGGTTTTTGGGTCGCCTCTCCAACCATCATCTGAATTGATATATTTGTTTATTTTGGGTCCTCTGCTGCCTGCCTGACCTGATCCCGTTGAGGTATGAACTATTTTATAGTCCTGTGCGTTTATTGCCTTGACAGACCGCCCACTGAAGAAAGTTCTCCACTGAAATGGCCATCAATACGGACCTAGTTAAGGAGAAACTAAAGCCTTTGTACAATGGAATCCTCCCCAGCTATCTAAACAATGAGCAAGTGTGTATGTGTTGGATATCAACACATCCCAAGATACACTGTCTGGTGCGAGAGGCAGTTTTCAGTATGGGACAATATATATATAGTCTTTCTCTGCTCCTTCCTCCCTTCTCT